TCCCTCTCTCTCTGCCCTTCCCCCATTCATGTTCTGTCTGTCTCTCTCTCTCTCAAAAAATAAATAATAAACATTTAAAAAAGTTAAAGAAAAAGATTTGGATATTTAACGGAGGAAGAGATCACAGTAGGAAGAGCTGCATGAAGGAAGTAGCATTTGAGGATGGCCTCAAAGAACTGGTAGGATTCCAACGGGCAGACACAGAACGGAGCAGGAAGAGTAAAGAGAATGAGCAAAGAATCAGATGTGGGAAAGTGGAAATTTCTGGGGAATGGTAAACAACTTATTTTGACTACAGGGTTTGTTTAACCTTTTCGTTTTATAGGTTCCTTTAAGAATTGGATGAAAGCGGGGCGCCTGGGTGGCTTAGTCGGTTGAGCGTCCGACTTTCGCTTGGGTCATGATCTCGCGGTTCGTGGGTTCGAGCCCCGCGTCAGGCTCTGTGCTGACTGCCAGCTCAGAGCCTGGAGCCTGTTTCAGTCTGTGACTCCCTCTCTCTCTGACCCTCGCCTGCTCACGCTGTCTCTCTCTCTCTCCTAGAAATAAATAAATTAAAAAAAAAAAAAGAATTGGATGAAAGCAAGGACTTGAATTCCTAGAAATAAAAGCACAAATTCATAATCAAATAGTTTCGCATACCCTTTTTCAGGACTTATCATTTACAGGTAGCGTAAGAGAGAGGAGAGGGAAAAAGCAGCCTTCCCAGGCACCCCATAAGAAGCTGGTGCAGGTGACCAAGGCTACAGAAATCTCTTTTCTAGAGGAAAGATTTGCATCTGACTATACTCGGGAAGAATGACTAAGAGAAATGGAATCAAGGGCCAGGAGGGACTCATCCAGTCTATTCATCCAAAGATTAAAAGAACCGGGATATCCTTGGGAATCATTTCTAGCTGACTGGATGCTACAGACTTCCAAAAGTAGAATGGTGGCTAGAAAGCGTACCTGGGAAATAAATGTACGGGTTAAAAAAAAAAAAAAAAAGTATGCCAGGGTCTTATCCAAGGGGGCCTTGACTCCCTACAACCACTGGATTTTATACTTAATTCCGGAGGTAACTGGGACATGATATAGATATCTGAGGAGAATGAATGTTCAGAGATGTGGTTTAGGAAGACTAATCTTCAGGATTATAGGTATGTGAGAAGCCAGGGGAGACCAGTTAGGAGTTTACTGCAGCTGGTTTTCATATTGTTCAAATACGTTCCATTTATTCAGCTTCCTCTGCCACCCACTCTTTGGCAAAGAGCCAGGCCTTTAGTAAGCATTTGGTAGCGCTTGCCGAATTGAAAGCCATAAATTCACTGAGGGTCTCCTTGTAATGTCTCTATTCCTCGCCAGGTGGCACCATGACAGCATTATTTACAGAGCAGACTTCCTTCTATAAGCACAGTGCTTCCAAGCAGAAAGGCTGTGCTTCTGTGAGGGAATTCACCTTCTGGGGACAATCTAGAAGTTGGAGGGAAGTGGTAGTTGGGATAAAAGATTCAAGAATACTTCTTTTGTACTTCTATATCATTTCTTACTGTCACAGAGTATGTCCGCTGAATTTCCATCCCTAGGCACATACCTGTGGAAAGATGTCTAGGAAAAGCTGCCTTTTCAAAGATGCAGTTTTCTGTCTTGTGAGAAGTATAAAATTAAGTATATTGGGGAAAGAACTGTTTCTTAGTTCTGGTAAAACTTCTAAGTGAGCCATTTCATTATACATATCAAGCAGAGACCATAGTCTGTGATGACACATAAAAATGCATATTTATGTCGGAGGCCATTTTACATCTCTTATAAAAGTAAGTATTGGGGTGCCTCAGTGGCTCAGTCAATTAAGGGTCCAACTCGATTTCAGTGCAGGTCATGATCTCCCAGTTTGTGGGGTCGAACCCTGCATCAGGTGCTGACAGTGCAGAGCCTGCTTGGGATTCCCCCTCTCCCTCTCTCTCTGCCCCTCCCCTGCTCACGTGCCCATGCATGGTCGCTCGCGCTCTCTCTCTCTCAAAACAAACACTTAAAAATAACAATAGGGGCGCCTGGGTGGCTTAGTCGGTTAAGCGTCTGACTTTCACTTAGGTCATGATCTCACGGTTTGTGGGTTCGAGCCCCGTGTCAGGCTCTGTGCTGACTGCCAGCTCAGAGCCTGGAGCCTATTTCAGAGTCTGTATCTCCCTCTCTCTCTGACCCTCCCCTGTTCATGCTGTCTCTCTCTCTCTCCTAGAAATAAATAAAAAATATTTAAAAAAACAATAATAACTATTATTTCTCTAGAACAGATTTTAGTTGTACTAGGCTCAGGTTGTACCTTATTTCTATGAAGTCCTATGTCTTTTCATTTTGAGATTAAGAACTAACCCTGAGAGATTTCCCTTACAATGATGAGAGATAGAAGTGCCAGAAATAGAGTTATGAGTTACATGCAGTGTTGTGTTAGGCCCAAAAAAAGCACAAAGGTTTTGGGGGACGGGGTGCATCTCCTCACCTTTACACATGAGCAGAACTCTGGCAAACTCCTAAGTACAAGAAGACTTGGAAATAATGGGAAACAGGATTCTTACCACATGTTAATGTGTGTTGATATCATTCAAATTTGTTGAATAGGTGGTGAATAATCAGATTTATGTGAAGATTTCAATTCAAAGTAGGAAATACTCTGGAGGTCCCAGGAGGCAAAGGTGCAATACAGTACCAGTTCAGCAGGATAATTTCTTCTTTGGTATTTTTTCAAGTTAAAAGTCTTTATTATTCTTTAACCCAATGATTCTTTTTTACTTAACTCTTACCTTTAAGAATTAAGTTGAAACAACAGCTCTCTAGAGAAGATTCATACTTACAGAATTTTGCATTCAATTTCGAGAAGCCTTGTCCCCGTGAAGTTCAATAGGGACTCTGTCCATGAGTCCCAGGTTAGAAGAAATGCAAGAGAGGATAGGGAATAGGGAGAAATAAGGTGACGTGAGAACAACCTGTGCAGGCCCCCTAAGAGATGCTATTGCAGGTGACTTTCAAAAACTGAAAGACTGTTTTTTTCTGGGGAGATTTTAATATGGACTTGGGAGGAATAGCTAGAGAACTTCTAGGAGGCCCAGGGCTAAGGGACTTATGACACATTTAGGACAGTGGGCATAGGAAGGGGAACTGAAATGGAACCAAACGGTAAAGAGCTCAACCAGCCCTATAGAGCCCAGTGGGCTAAACTGCTTGCAATTCCTGTCAGACTCTGCAGAATCTGAGCCATAGGGAACACGAAAGAGGCACAAGAATTACCTTGTGTCAGGGAATATAGAGGAGCATTGGCTTCTTCCTCTCAAGCAGCAGGTACAGAAGGCCATCTTTTCAGTGCCATCATTATATTATTATCCACTAGACTCTGATGAGAGCCACTAACCAAAACTTGAACTTCAAATTCTTATTCTAACTGAGATGAAAAGAGACCAAAACTAATGCTATTCCCTTTTCAGGACTCTGAGACCCTTGACTGGGGAAATAAAGGGCCTGAAGATCTAAATAACAGAGAAATTTAACACAGCAGTTCCCATTTAGGATTCTTTAAGTCAGAAGATATGGGTTTAAGTCCTCATTCTTAAACCCAGCTAAGCTAAGCCAAGTACTAGCTGTGTGACCTTGAGAAAGTCTTGGCGTCCGTTTCTGGAACTGTTAAGTGAAAATAAAAATAGTGCTTACTTCGTGTTGGAGATGAAATTGGACAGTGTCTGGCACACAGTAAATGCTCAATAAATGATAGATATTTTTGTTATTGATGCCAAATGCTGGAACTATAACAGGAAACGATCTCCCAGCCTTTGGGGATAGTTCCTCACAAATATACTTCAGTTACCCTCTTTAGGACCCCAATACACATTCTCCAAACACTGCACAACTCAGAGCTTCCTCTGGTTAGCCTGTGTATACAGGGCTGGCCCCCAAGATCTTTTTGGCCCATAACTACATGACATTTATGATGAAAAGGCCCATGTCACCTCGGGAATCTCATCATCCCCCTTTATTTGACTCTCCTGAAAATTAAGAGTTCATTAGACAGGGAAGGATTAAATAAAAAGAGAGCTTCTAGAACCTTCTCAAGGTAGTTTTGTTTTCCCAGAGGAGCCAGTCACTACCATCCCCATCCCAAGAGAACTATAAAAAACTAACATTTGCACAAGAATTTCTACAAGTCTTAGATATTTTTCTCCCTAACAACTTCTTGTCCCCATTTTACATATGCAGAAATTAAGTCTCAAGCAGCAAACCAAGCCTCAAATATTCATTCAGTGTTGGAACTGAGATTCAAGCCCAGATCTGTGATTCTTCTAGTGCTCTTTCAACCTATCCACAGCAACCAGTAGCAGGAACACTCTCTCTCTCTCTCTCTCTCTCTCTCTCTCACACACACACACACACACACACACACACACACACACACACACACCACTCCAACTCATTCTTCTTCCAAATTTGTTTGGGGTAGCCTTGGGAAATTCCATTGCCCAAGGGAGCTAGAGCTGATGTCAGTCCCCAGGGAATACCTTACCAGTGTTCTCCACTAGAGGCCTGAGGCAGTTATTTGTGCTTTCTTTTGTGATGTGTCACTCTACTCCCAGAGATCCCCGGCAATCCCTCCCAAACAATCCCCACAATCCCCCATCCCTAGCCCTCCCATGGAACAGATGTCAGGCCTGCCATTCCAGGACTCAGATTTGGAAGTCATCTTCCAGGGACCAGGTGCTTCACTGAAAAGAAGTCACTTGCACACCTGGAGTTCTAAAAACCGTTGTTAGTTTGGGAGTCTCAACACATCTCCTCTCATTCTCGCCCGTCCAGCTTGAGTTCAAGTCCCGGTTGGAAGGGAAAGCAGGCTGAGTCGGCAGTGTGTGTCCTGACCAACTCCTTGGAACTGGAGGCAAAGAGAGAGGAGGGAAGGCATGGCTTCTGCAGTCCCAACTAAGCCCGGGTCCATGTAGCGGGCCCAGAAGCCCCACCCTGACATCCCCCTAGTACCAGTCAGCAAGGAGGGGAGATGACGCCTCTTTATTAAGGTTAACACCAAGGAAAGCATTGAGAAGGAATACACAGTGGAGGAGAAAGGGCACACAAAGTCACTACTTGAGGAGGTGGAAGGGAGGCACATCAGTTAACCTCAGGACAGCCACATGCTCCATGCCCTGATCGTGAGGGAAAAGAGGAAAGGAGAGGGGAAAGCGCCATGATAGCCTGGGGCTCACAGAAGGGTCCGAAGCCCCCTGAACCTAACACCAGAGCCACAAGCCCTGCCCCTCAGGGCTCACACACTACTGCACAAGTCGACACATGTAACACACACAAGACATTATGGAGGCAACACCGAGAGGCAGTGGGCAGGGACAAATTGACAGGAAAAGGAACTGAAGTTAAGCAGGTGTAGCCAGGAGAGAGACAGTTTTTGGCTGCAGCCCCCAAGAGTCCCTCAAACGTCCCCTAAATCTGGGCTGCTGCTGAGCACCCCCAAGTCTCTGCCTGTGTACCGGGCTCTTTGTTCTCTAAGCCCCAGTGAGTGGATAAAGCAATCCCAGATGAAGTCAGTGACAAGGCAGGATCCTCTCTGCATGCAAAAATCCTAGAGGTTGAGCTATTAAGTCTTCATGCACATTCATAGCCAGCTCCTCCCAGCCCGGGGGCCCTTGGAACCCCATTCACCCAGATTCCTAGGGCTGCAGTTCCCTCCTCAAGCTTCCTTTACCAATCAGCAGCCGCAGAGATCTGTGAGGGGGAGAGGCTTCTGCAGAGCGCTGAATATCTTGGATTTCAGCAGAAGGGTAAATTTTCTGTTGCCAGAACAGAACACCCCCAATTCCTTAATTTCTAGGTAAATCGTTAGAGATTATTTGCCATAGTCCTAGATAAGTCCCTTTTCAGAATAGAAAAAGCAGAATTTTATTTACACAATTCAGGGGTTCTCCTGTCGGCCGGGGATGGGGAATGGGCAGGGTAGGGGATGGATGGGAGTCCAGAGATGGGCGCTTCCTCTCCCGGAACCTCACCTTTCCGCAGTTTGCTACGTCTCCCTTGGTTGGGCAGAAAGAATTCTTGATGCTCCTAAAGTCCTTCACCCTATAAATCCTTCCTCGTGGGAGTCTCTCTGCCTGACCCACATGAGCAGCGGTCGGAGTGAAGCATGCTGCACCGCACCGTTCAGTCCCCTCGCGTCATGCACTCGGAAACCCAAAGCCAGCCCGGGAGAGTAGTGCCCCCTCGGAGTCCCCTCACAGAGAGGCCTCGCCCTCCAGCTGCAGAAGGGTAATGTCGGGCAGATCGAGGGGCTCCACAAGTGGCCCGTCCCCCCCAAGGAGACCAGCACAGGGGCTCTCGGGGCGCTCACAGTGACTAGTGGGTGTGGCGGAGCTGGGCATCTCCTTGTCCTCTTCTTCGTCGTCGTCCTCAGGATCACGACCCAGCAAACCGCTGTCCCCGATCCCAGGCGAAGGGCTCTCCGGCTCTTGGGGGGCACCCGGGAAGTTCCCCTTGCCGCCGACCACGCCCAGACCGCCCTGGCGGGGCGCCGTGGTCATAATCTGGCACATGGAGACGATGGCCCGCTGGTTGGCGCACACGTCGTCCGAGAGCACCTGGATGTGCGAGGCCTGCTCGTCCAGGGCCCCCCGCATGGCCCTCACGTCCTCAAACAGGGCCTGCAGCTGGGCCTTCAGGTGCTCCATCAGTTCCTTCATGCCGCCGTTGTACTCCCCGGAGATCACGTCCCCCACGGCCGGCACGGTGGACACCTCCAGAGGTGCCGGCATGTCGCCGCCGTCCTTGGTCATGATCTCCAGCAGACCGTCCTCCATTGAATGGCAGAAGCGGGCGGTGGCGGCTCTGGGTCCGGTCCAGCCCGGCCTCCGGGGTGGGGGTGGGGGGGCTGGGGGGGGGGGGGGACGGGGAAGGGGGAAGAGGTCCCCGGAGGGGCGGGGAGGAGCCGAGGGCAGAGGAGGCTCCCGAGAGGGGCGGGGAGCCGACGTGAGGAGATGAGCCCCGGGCGAAGGGCGCGGGCTGGATCGGGGGAGGCCGGGAAGAGCCGGCGGGACGCGGAACCGGCGAAGAGTCCCGGGCCGGCGACTCTCCGGCTTGCCCCGGGGCGAAAGCGCCCAGACCTGCCTCGCCTTCCGAACTGCGCCCGTGTCAGCGCCGCTCCCCGGGCGCCACGACCTGCGAAGACCCGCGGGTTCTCGGGGTCACCGAAGCGCTCGCGGAGGGGCCCGGGCGGAGGACAGCAGCGGGGACCGCTCGGGACTACCCCCGGCCATTAACTGGCGGCGCCCGCGAGTGTGCTTGGAGTGGCAGGGGCGGGTCTCCCGGCCTCGCCGCGGATGCTCCTCTGTTTCCAAGGCGACGCACGGCACGTAAATGACGTGTGTCTCCATGGCAACCAGGAAGTAGGGGAAGAAAAGGAAGGATGGTTGCGAAGCTGCAGTGGGGCTATGGAGTCTGAACGAGCGGGTGGGGCAGGAGGGGAGGGGACGCCGCAGTGGCCTCCGCTGAGTGGAGAGAACGTGTGGCTGCGATGTTTTATAGGGAAGCATGAGAGAGCAGTTTGCTGCATGAACCCTCAGGCCAGGGAGACATCGTCCCTCCTCCAGTCTGGGTACTAGACCCTGAGCGCGACCGCCTTGGAAGGATTTTCACCCACCCGCAATCCTTTCTCAGCGGAGGCGCTAGAGCCGGGTCTTGCTTCTCTGTCCTCCAGCCGTCCGCAGGAGAACAGAGAGGGTAGCGAGGCCGACGCTGATCCCCGGCTGGAGCTGGGGCGCAGCGGCTCTCCGGCGGTGCAGAGGATGGGGGGGCACTGCTGCGGGCGCCGCCTTTCCCTCCGGCTTCTGCAGTAAATCAGCCCTCTCGCTGTGGCTGGCACGGAAGCTAAAAAAGGGTGGGATTTCCCCCCATAAAATTCCCTCCCATGAGATGAGTCCCAACTGTTCCTACCCCGGGCACTGGAGTTTTTGCAGGTGAGGCAGAGTACTTAAGTTTTGAGAACGAAAGCTCCCTAAGGGCAGAGATTTTTGTCTTCGCGTCCTCAACCGCGGAATCCCCAGCACCTAAAATAGTGCCTGGCACGTAGTAAGTAAATGCTCTCTATGTATGTCGAATGAATACTTTAACAAGAACCACAATGCCCAGGTTCCCTCATCCTGAACTCGCGACCCACACATAGTTGAGTTTAGGAGACCTGAATTCAATTTTGTTCCTGCCATTTAATTCAGAGACCTTGGGGTAACTAATTTTCCTGATCTGTTAGGGGATTGGACTGGGTAATCTATAATATTATTTCTAACTCCGAATAACAATCTGCATCAGCTTACAGGTAAAAGGGTCCACTGTTGGCGGTGTGTGGAAGGGATGGGTGAGGACAGTGTGTGTGAAGGCAGTTTCCCCTCCACAGGCCCAGTGGCCACGTACAGACACACACACAGTGTCTCAGCCTTTGTGACAACTCCTTCTCCTACTGGAGAGGTGGGGTGGGAAAGGGGGGCGGGGAGGAAGAAAATTAGAATTTAATATATTTACAGATGAGACTGAGAAGAAAAAGCACCTGGTCAGCAGCATTCTAACTAGTAACGACCCTAGTAAATTGGAGGAACCAAGTGGCTAGAAACAAAACGAATTTCATAAGAAGAAGTAAATCTAGGGAGGAGAAACAAACCATCACTTCAAGACCGGGAAGAGCTAGGTATGGGTGTTTTGTATGCTAGTGGTTCAACGTTAGCAAATGTGTTACCTTTGGATTTCCCTGGTTGTGTACTTTAGTAAGGAAGGATGGGGTTGGCCCAGAGTAACTTTTGTAGCACTAAAGAACTGTTTGGTTTATGCCTATTTCACCATTATTAAAATAAAAAAAGCTGAAGAAATAATCTAAACAGCAGAATATTTAACCTAAGGCATTGCTGATATAATAAAGTACTTATGCAGCCTTTAGAAATTTGATTTCCCAAAACAACTATATGAACAAATCAAAACCCCTACAGTATGATATTTTCTAAAATAAACGATTCAATCATATTTGCTTGCTTATTCCTTTCTTCATTCCCCAAACTTGAGGCGCTCTTACCTTGGTTATCACTCCTATCTCTACCCTGTTCCCCATGGGTTATTCCTAAAGCTTAGGAGAAATACTTGGCTTTCCTAAGCACAAAGTGAGCTGGTATTTACAAAAAGACTTTGCCAGACAAACTATAGGAAAACTAGAAACAGAGACAAGACACACACACACACACACACACACACACACAGAGCTGAGCTTATACAGCATAGTTTCTGATCATAAGATAACAAGCATATTCTCAGGGTATATGGGTCCAACTGCACTGTTCATCCTTCCCTGAAGGGTTCTGTGATAGCCAGAAAAGACATGAATTTCAAGTTTTTTGCTTTTTGCCTGGGTCTGTGACTTCACATTCTTGACTAGCACTTCACATGGATGATATCATCTTGCCAGCTTTCTTACCTGTCAGGTGGGTCCCTGCCTTCTACCTATAAAGAGCGACCCTGTCTAGTATAGGGCCTCCATCTTAGCTTTAATCTTACATTAAACATAGTCCCCATATAATGAGAGCTGGGTTATGTCATCATACAGGGCTTTTTGCCACTATTGTTGAGGCTACCATGTATGTCAAGGCTTTCAGCATAAGATTACATCATGCTGCCCAGATTACATTCATGCTAGCATGAAGTCTGCTGAGATTGCAGGGTGTCTGAGACTAGAGGGAGGAGAAATTATTGGAGAAGCACGAAAGAACATGGGAGACAGGTGCAGAGATCAAGGGGTGTGGCTGATCCAGTCAAGTTCCAGGTCAGACATTTGAGAGCCAAGGGTAGGTGGGAACTTGGGGAGTGGACTAGTAACAGGACTTGAAAATGTAGGGAGGAGGGGCGCCTGGGTGGCTCAGTCGGTTAAGCGTCTGACTTCTGCACAGGTCATGATCTCACAGTTCGTGGGTTCGAGCCCCACGTCGGGCTCTGTGCTGACAGCTGGCTCAGAGCCTGGAGCCTGTCTTCCGATTCTGTGACTCCTTCTCTCTCTGACCCTCCCCTGCTCACGCTGTCTCTCTCTCTCTCTCAAAAATAAATAAAACATTAAAAAAAAAAGAAAATGTAGGGAGGAGACAATTGGTGCATCAGATTCAGAAACAGATCGTTTTAGGAATTCTGTGTAAAAATGGGACTAGCGAAAATAGGAAAATGGTCTAGCCTCTGAAAAATAAGGGAAACAGATACAGAGAGTGAAGGAACGTCTGTAAACTGGCTGGGTTTCAGGGCTGAGACCTCTGGACACCAGGGCCCTAGGGTTTGTTGAGTGGGTCCAATCCCAAGCAAAAGGGGCTGAATGGGTACTCTGGCCATGTCATTAGAATGTTCACACATATCATGCATGCCATATAGCAAGAAAAAAATCACACTTTATGCTTCCTGTCTTTCTTTTATCTTCTGGGAAGCACCTTAGTTGTTCTATTCCTTCATCCCAGTCTCATGAGCCAGTGGGGTGAAGAGATTCCATGGGGCATAAATACAAGTCTTCATCAGGTACACCTAGTTCCAAACATCACAGTCTCACTTGAACGGTGATTCTCAGTAGTCTCTGCCATTTTCCTCTAACTGGCATCCAATGTATCTCCAGTCTATCTTTTATATAGCTGGTATACTTTTTGCACTATAACTCCAACAGTGATGATGAAGATGCTTGCTTGACCCAGATCTAGAGTGATGATCAAAATCAAGGTAGAGCTGACTGCTACACCTTAGATCCATGATCCCAGACAGTACTCCCCAGATGTAAGTAAGTCTTATGGCATTGAGTTGTCTATGTCATCTCAGCATGATGTCACAGTCAAAAGAAACACATCCAATAGCCAAAAAGAATTTAAAAGCTATTTATATTAGTCTCTGGGAAGTTAGTATAGTTCTTTACTCTTTATTATTTATTACAGTTTATTATAGTCTCTGGGAAAACTCTAAAGGAATTTTCATTCTCAGTACAGAGCCAACATCTTCAACTTTTCTTCCCTCCTTCTCTATTCATCTTGTACATCATGATGTAGGTGTAGTTACAATCCCCTCTCTTTTCTCTGCAGACACCCCCACACTTTCAAGCCTGGCTCTGCTTTCTCACTCCCCTGCTTACTTCATTTATTGAATGTATTCTTTTTCTCTTCTGCAGGATGAAATTCCTGGTCCTTGTTTTAGCTCCTTTGATTTTGTTTTCCATTCTGCACCATTCTCAGTGACAGAGGTCTCCTTCCTAGGGGGAAAGAAAGACTGAGAACACCCATTGTTGTGAGTTTGATCTCTGACATAGACTAATGTTCTCAGCATGAGACAATGTTTTGCCTGGTGTTACAGACAGCCTGTTTTGCTCATTTCCTTTAATCTTGTACAGAGAAATGGGCATGGTAGTTTGCAAGGACCCTGAACTAGTATGAGAGGGTGTCCAACCGTCCACACTCTCAAGAGGTCTATTGTCGCAGACATGACCATGAGGTGAGACACATACACATGCATGCACACACCCTCACTTAAGCCTGAGCAAGACTTTCAGTAGCTTCTGCTGTACCCTTGAACTATTTTTAGGAATCTTTAAAAAGACATTCCCCCTACATTTTTTTCTCTGCCATATTAACTTTACTCAAAGCAAGAATTTCAGGGGACCTTCCAACTTCTTATGCCATATGAATTTTCACTGAAAATAACCTGTCTTTCCAATTAAACCTGTTGTATACTCTGGTTTCTCTTCAGATTGCATAAATCTTTCGCCTTTTACCAATTAAACCTGTTGTGCTGATGTTCGCCCTATCTCCCCTTTCTGCATTACACACTGCAACAGCTTCTTTGTGTCAACACCTGCAGAAGCTTT